TTCTTCTTGTGATATCATCACATTCTCGCCTATGGAACTGCACAGCCACGAGAAGAGCTGATATGCAAGGAGGGTAGAAATGCTGGCGCGTTGCCCTCCTCATTTAAACACTGCTCATGAAGCATGGAAACACTTTTCTCCGGGCCATGAGTCCTAGAATTCCCCTGGCCATACAGGTGGGGGGGATTCCAAGAGTATAGCCCAAGAAAGTAACTTCCCCAAATCACTCTATTTCTTGATAGTGGAGCATAGCGCACCCTCCCTAAGACCAGATTTTAAAGATCTCCTGACTAGAATTGCCATTTGGTTGCCAATGGAAGTGGCTTGCCCTGTGGCACTGCAGCCTGTTCTGGGGTGGGGAAACAAGCCCCCTTGCGGATGGACTGTGGCCAGTGGTCAGTTGTAGTCCAGCCAGACCTGTAGGGCCACAGGTTTCCTCTTCTCCTCCAATATTATAATGAACGACAAGCCTTAGGCATTTCTAACTTTGGTGTACATCTCTATATATGCTAATCCCCTGGAATTTGGGGGATCAAACTGGACACCTAGGCATGCAAAGTCTCTGTTTTCTGCAGGAAAATGAGCCTTCCTCTGTGGGTCTTGTGTGGCAGCAGAAGGATTTCCTAGACAGAGGGGGCAAGCATTTGGTCTGGTCCATGTCCCTTAGCTTAGGGTGGGGTGGGGATCCCCTCTCAGACAAGAATGAGGGGGCGGCGGCGGTGGCAGCAGGGCAGACAGGGGGTGGTGGTGTCGTGGTCCCGGGGAAACCAGCTACTTAGAATAGCCTGGCTAGCCTGGCAGGGTCCTGTCTGATTGCTGGTGGGAAAAGCCGTCGGGGCCTAAATTTGGTCCGCGGGCAAAATGGCCAGTCCGGGCCCCACCTTGTCATTATTCATGTCTCACCCACTGGTCACTGTCGTGCAGAAGATCCGTTGGTGGCGGCTGCCAGAAATCCTTTTACTTTGTGCCTGCTGTGGTGATGAGCCATCTGTGAGGAATGCAAACAGCCAACCAGACTGGAGGTTTTCAGGCCACTGGGAAGAAACTCCTCTCACACCCCTGGTGTCCCAGCAGAAAACTGGCACCATATGACCCCTCTGCCTGGGTTGTAAAAATGACAGTGTGAAAAGTGCACTCTGTGCATGCTCAGGATGGAGCAGTTGCCTTTGTGAAGCTGTGCCATGCTCTCAGTTCATCGCAAGGGAGAACCAGTTACGAGTTGCATAGAGGTGAAAGAAAGCAACCTGAATCGGCTCAGGAAGCCTGCTCAGCGGCTGAGCCCATCCTTCTCCAAGGACTCCCACAGAGTTTAATGGGGCTTACCACAAAGGATGTGTGTGCCGAAGTTTTTCGTCTCCTTTTTTTCTTTCTGTGATAGCTGAGACCTGATGCCAGAGCTTGGAAAAGTAACTTTTCAGCCTCTGGCACCAGGTTACGGCCAATGCACCTAAGCAGCTACACTAATACGTGTGTGCACACACGCACACCTGTCTGCCAAGGTTTCTCCTCCTAGACGTCTGTGACTAAAAATTAACCAGCTGCTAAGAGAAATGCAGGCCTAATGACACAGGCAACTAGCAGCAACAAAGGAGCAGAGAGATGGCACTTCCTGGAGAACTCACTGTGCGCTCCCTCCACTCATCCCCCAAGCCTGAAGTGACCCAAGACCAGGGACACTCTCCTCTGACTCCTCTGGGATTTCTGAATGCTACCTGAGACTCACTCATAAAATTGCACACAAACAGCCTTGTGTGTGTGTGCGAAATTTGTGAGTTTTCTCATTTGCAACTAGGAAGAAGGCCAAAGCTTCTGCAGATCAATTGGGCCTTGAGTAACACCCACTCCAAAGGCAGAAATGCACACACACACAGAGCCAGCGGAGAAGGCATTGTACTGGAGACCGGGGAGTTGGCTTTCCGGAGGTCTTCATGATTTTCCATCTCATTGTCCTAGTCCTGCTGGCACTGCCTTGTCAAAGGACTCAAGAATGTCCTGTTTCCCACCCATTTAAAAAGATGCCTGTCTGGATGAGACAACAGCAGCTTCACGCAGCCCCTCACTGGTCGTCCTTGTGGAATGTTATGATCAAATGCAGCATTTACAGGCATGTGTACATCAAATGCATTCATGGGACTGCAGGGCTAGAAGGCATCCCCAGAGCCGCCCAGTCTTACCTTCTGTTAATGCAGAAAATTCACTGGCTGAGCCTCCCTGGCAGATGGATGTCCAAGCTTTCTCTGAAAACCTCCAAGTGAAGAGAGATCCCCCCCCTCCTGGCAAAAATGTTGGGTCAATCTTTGAGGAGCCCTTGGCTTCAGGATGACCCCCCTCCCCATGCATAGTCAGATACAGCTTTCATTTAATAGGACCCCATTTGATAACCCTCTGTCTGCTGGAGCCTCCCACAGACAATCATTCCGGTATCAGAAGATGGCTTTGCCAAAGGCTATGCTGGTGGAGCCAAACAAACAAACAAACAAACAAACAACAGCCCAGCAGGTTCTACCAAGCTGGCAAAGGAATGGGTCACCCGAGGGCTGGCTGCTGAGTGATGAATTTGTCATAGCAAGTGAGGACACAACATTGAATACTGTAGCTGTGATCCTCATTAAGGAAAGGTGTACCCTATGGCCAGGATAATGCATTTTAGAGATAGCATATATGCGTATACACTGAATATTTTGTAGAAATAGCAACAGTGTTATAAGATGGACAAAACCACTAAACATTGAAAACAAGGGGACTCTCTCATGACCTTTCTTTTACTCCATATACTGTAAGTTAATAATGAGACAGATAGCCCCATCCAAGGGTTACGGCGAGAAAGAGGCAGCTGGGCTGGCACTGAAACACAGGCGCCCGTTTGCCCTGCACCTGTAGGTTACATAAGTTTCCCCTTTTGGCCTCTCTATCTGCCATTTGCTGGGTGGAGAATTACAAAGCCATTAACGTGGGAGGGGTGGATTAACCCTACCTGAAAACACCTGCGGGCTGCTTCCCACAAGCCAGGGAGGGGCTCTGCGATAGCGCGCCTCACTCTCCTATAGTCAACAGAGAGCCTGTCCCTCTGGCAGAGCTGCCTTCCTCTTGATTAGCAGCACTTCATCAGGGTATTCTCCTGGCTGGAATGAATGCTTTCCACATTTCTGAGCTAGAAAGACCGAGTTGGAGATCAAATCTTTGGGCAGGGGTCCATCTCACATTTGCATGCCCACTGAGGTTGAATTTCTGCAGCGAGAGAAACCAGGGTTTGGTTTGGGATTTTCTGAGCAGAAAACTCTGTGATCTCCAACATACGCATGGGGGTTGTGATTTTTTTCGATAAAATGTGGAAACCCAATCTGTATGTCCTGCAGCCTTTGCCCTCTCAGTGCGAGAACAGATGGGTGCACATGCAGAAAAAAGTTCCCTGTGTTCTAAGTATCTCTTTCTGTTAAGCGCCAATATTGTTGACAGCATCCTAGCTTATGGGTTTTGTGCTGGACTGGACAGATGGAAGAAGCAGTTGACTATTATTAATATCATATCCCCCGTTGATATAACAGTCCAGAAGATTTTGAGCTACCCAAAAACATCCTGAGGGAAAATAAGCAGCGACAATGTTACGAGGAGAGGAGTTTCCCCTAAAAGCTGCCCCACCATAGCTCTAGAGAAATTGCACTTTGCATTCCTACAAATATGGGGGGCGGGGGGCGGGAAGGAAATGCCACCACATCCTAGAACATATCTTTCCTCACACAGGTGGTCAAACTGTCACCCCCTTTCATGGCTTTCTGGAGCAAGGCCAAAATGAGCCTTTTATTAGTAATACTGTAGTATGTACCTTTTGTATGGGCTATCAACATCTTGAAGAAGCGACATCTTTCTGTTAGCTTACTCCAAAGGTTATCTCTTACTGTCAAAATATGCTAGTGTAGATTTCAGGATGACTGCATAGCAATTACCTTGTTCCCTAATGATGGGAATGCGTGGGGGAATGAGGCTGGGAAAGGGAGGGTCCCTAGGAAGATTCAGCCCAAAATATTTGTATTTTTTTACTTGCCCTCAATATGGAGGAATACATGCCAGCATGTTCGCAACCTGTACTTTATTACAGGTATAGTAAATGTTGTAAGTACCTCAACCTATCTTGTAGCTGTGAGTTCCGCAGGTCGATGATTACTTATTCCTTTTTTATATTTATACCGTGCATTTCTTGAAATGAGCTCAAAGGGGCGGGCATGGCTCTCTTCCTCCCCACAGTAATTTCACATCGACTCTTTGAGGTGGGTCGTGTTGGGAGAAGACAAGTCAGTGGCTCAGGGTCATCCAGCCAGCTTCACGCCCCAGTGGGGACTTGAACCGGTGGTCAGCCGGATCCTAGTCAGACACACTGACCACTGTCCCACACGGTTTCCTTCCTGGCAGATGTGAAGGGTCCCCTTGTCATCTCCACGGGCCGGCGGCGCCGACTGCCAATCGGTGTAAGAAGCGGCAGCCGGAAAACATCCAACTGGATCCTGAGCAGAGCTTGGGGAAGTCATCTTTTTGGACTACAAGTTCCAAAATCCCCAGACTGGCCGGCGTGTAGCCAGCCTAGAAAAGCCACTTTCTCCACGCCCGAGCAGGCGCTGCCGGAGCCAGGCGCGCGGGTCGGGCTCAAAACATGCTTTCCCGCCGCCGCCGAAGAAGGGGACGGATCGGGGCCGCCGCCCCGCGTCGGAGCTTTCAAGCCATTTCTAGATCGGTAGTAAAAGTTTCTATTAATACCCCACCAAAGCCGCCGCGGCCACGGGAGGCGATTCAGCGCCGCCGCAGGAGCAAGAGCCGCCGCCGCCGCCGCCGCCGCCGCCGGGCTGTGAGAAAGGGATTCCCTCTGACGTCATTGCTAGGATACCAAACAAACACAGCAAAGACAAGCCCATATATGGCTAATTGCGTCACAGGAACTCCAGGGGGCGGAGCAAGGGATCCCCGGCCTTTCCCATTGAAAAAGAGCGCTTTAAGGGGCCGCCCGGAGACCCCTTTCGGGCAGCCGAGCCGCCGGGGACCGAGGAAGGCTCCGGCAGAATTGGGGGTTCCGAGGAGGTGCGGGCGCCGGGTTTCGGGGAGCCGGCCGGGGCTCTTCCTGGTGCGTCAGGAGGGGGGCGGTCCCGCTTCTATAAATCGGCCCCTCGGCCAAGCGTGCTTCATTCATAAAATTGCGGCGCCGGGAGGAAGATCAGCCGCCGGCGGAGAACCAGAGGAAAAAGGCAGCGAGAAGCGAGAAAGAGCCGAAGAAGAGGCGCCGGACCCCCGACTCTCTCTCTCTGTCTCTCGCGGGCAGCCCCAGCCGTCGTCGTCGTCTCCGGGTTGCTTCGGAGCCCAGCGAGGACTGACCGACCGGCGCCGCCGCCGCCGCTGCTCCGGATTGCTGGATTTTCGGGACACTTTGCGAGACTCTCTTTTGGGGGCCGGGGGGGGATTGGGGCTGGCTTGACCGTCGGAACCTCGGCCGGCCGCCCCCCCCTCTTTGGTTGTTCGGCAGCATGCCCCTCTGAGCGGAGCGAGCGCGCGGGGCCTCGGGCAGGGCACTCGGGGCGCCGTCTCCCCCCAGGCACCGGCAGCCGGAGGGGGAGGGAAGGAGGGAGGGCCGACGAGCGGGACCGACCCGGAAGGCGAGCCCGGCTCCCCGCTCACCTTGGCTTCCAGGCGCCCCCCGCGCGGCCGCGGCTTCCCCCCTGCCTCTCCGAGGGAGATGTATCAGGGCTTTCCCGGAGACTACGACTCCACCTCCCGGTGCAGCTCGTCCCCTTCGGCCGAGTCGCAGTACCTCTCCTCGGTGGATTCCTTCGGGAGCCCCACGGCCGGCGCCGCCGCCT